CCGTTCTGAACGACCGGAGCAGCGCGGCGATCCTGAAACGATGCCAATGCTGCGGCGGGAGCAGCATTTCGAAGCACAAGAGCGCTGCGGTTGAAAGGAGCCATCTGGAAATCTGTCTCTTCCTGCTCCAGCTCTCGTGTTATGTTGCCCCCATCGTACTTAAGGGCCACATCCCAGAAATAATTCCGAGCACCCAGAAAAGTGTCGAGACAGTGTCGAACCAGTGTCGCCTGCCAGGGCCCGACACTAAACAATCCCAGGTTCGGTACTTTCTTGGTGCTCGAAATTTTGGATGGTGATCGAGGCTAGAGTCGGTTGGAATATCAAAACTCTCATACACTGTTTGAATAGGAGTGGGGTGGTGAGGGTGAGGACAAGCGGTTGGGTGAAAGGCCAGACCGTTGAGACCAGAGCGTCCCCAGAAGCTAAACGAGAGGACGACGACACTGAAGAGCCTCGACCCGCGATCCTCGATCCTCCTCCTCCTCCTCCTCCTCCTCCCTCCTCCTCCTCCTCCTCCTCCTCCTCCTCCCCCTCCCCCTCCTCCTCCTCCTCCTCCTCCTCCCTCCCTCCTCACCCTCGCTCCTCTCCCCTCCTCCCTCCCCACTCTTCTTCTCACCTCCGCCTCCTCCCTCCTCCTCTGCCCCTCCTCCTGCTGCTGTACCCTCCTCCTCCTCTTCCTCCTCCTCCTCCTCCTCCTCGCTCCTCGCTCCTCGCTCCTTCTTTCCCCCCCTCGTCCTCCTCCTCCCCCTCCTCCTTTTCCCTCCCTCCCTCCCTGCCTCCTCCCGTCGACCTGGGCACGGGGTGGGACGAGCCAGGCAGGGGCCCAGGCAAGGCTCAACAAAAAAGGCCCAGTGGCCTGCCCCTTGGACGCGCACGGGGGGAAGGGGGGGGGGGGGCACGCCGAGAGGGCACTGGCGAAGGCCGAGGGGCCGGCCCCCCATGGAGCCACGAAGGGCCCCCCCGATGGGTGTAACGACAGGGAGAGGCCGGCTCGAGGGGTTCGGGGGCGGCCAAGAAAGAGGGCAGAAACTCCACCCCGATGATAACCACCCCGACACGTGAGGCCGTTTAGTAAACGCACCCACAGAAGGAATCGAACAGGGCAGGACTGTTTAGCAAACGCCAAGGGCCGTTTAGTAAACGCCAGTTGTCGGGTCTGGGTGTTTTTTCCTCCCTTGACAAGAGGGGGGCGTCCAAGAGGGGGGGTGCAAATCATGGCCGGCAGCATGTGCGTGGTCCAGGGGAGGGGCAGGGAACGCATCGAAACAAGAGAAGGCGCCGTGAAATGTGGGGAGGTATCGTGGTCCCCGCCATGATATCCACCCCGCCCTAGTCGTCACCCCCGTCTTGGCCGCTCCCGAGGGTGGGGGGGGGGTGGGGGGGGGGGAACGCCACGGCTGGAATCGGTGATGCGTCGCCGATGGATCGGCGGGAGGCCCCCGAGGGCGACTCCGCAGGCTCCTGGGCGGGGTGGGCTATCAGACTCCTACCTCATGAAGGCTTTTCGACTTCCGCCGACCCTCGGCTCTCGTTGGAGAGGCCACGACTTGCTCCAAATCTCCTTGGAAACCTCTGGATGTACCTGGAATTACCTGGGATTCCTCGGATGTCCCTGGATTGGCCTCGACTCATCTACATCCGGCTAAAATCGATCTATCTCCAGGTATCTTGATGTATCTACGTTTACCCCTGTTATCTGCATACATCTCCATCTGCACTTATCTTCATTGATCTACATCGATCCCCACAAGTCGATTGGCCTCAAGTGGTTACGCCCTGAGGCATTAGGGACTATGGGCGATCAGAGAGCGATTGAGGATCGGTGCGTTCCCCCCCCCCAGTGGGCCACGAAGACCGACCTCCGCCTGCCCCCTCGAGGAGGATACGCACGAGGTGTGTGTGTGTGTGTGTGCCCCACCACCATCCCTGGCACGGCGCCTCCCGCGGAGCAGGGGGAGGAGGAGCGGGGGGAGGAGGAAGAGGAGAATGAGGAGGAGGAGGGTAATGAGGAATATGATAATGATGATGCTGCTGATGAGTATGATGATACTGATGATGATGACGATTATGCTGCTGCTGCTGATGATGAATAAGATGAGCATAATGATGCTGATGATGATGCTGACGGGGGAGGAGGATGAGGAGGATGCGGTGGGACGGACAGAGGGAGAAGTGGAAGGATGAGGAAGAAGAGGAAGAGGAAAAGGAGGAGGAGGATATCGTGGAAGAGGAGTAGGATACTGAGGACGAGTAGGAGGAGGAGGAGGAGGAGGAGGAGGAGGAGGAGGAGGAGGAGGAGAGAAGAAAGGGAAGGAAGAGGAGGAGGAGGAGGAGGACGAGGAGAACAAGGAGGAGGAGGAGGGTGATGATGATGATTATGATGATGATGATGATGATGCTGATGATGATGATGATGCTGAGGGTGATGATGCTGATGATGATGACGATGATGATGATGCATATGATGTTGATGCTGAAACTGATGATGCTGAGGAGGAAGATAAGGAGGAGGTGGGACGGAAAGAGGGAGAGAAGGAGGAGGGTGAGGAGGAGGAAGAGGCGCATAATGAGGAAGAGGAGGAGGAGGAGGAGGAGGCGGATGATGATGATGCTGCTGTTGCTGCTGATGATGATGATGCTATTGTTAATGATGATGATGATGATGTTGATGATGATGATGATGATGATGATGATGATGATGAGATGATGCTGCTGCTGCTGCTGCTGCGGCTGCTGCTGTTGATGCTGACGAGGATGATGCTGAGGAGGAGGAGAAGGAAGAGGAGGAGGAAGAGGAGGAAGAGGATGAGGAGGCGGATAATGAGGGACAGGAGGAGGAAGAGGGGTGAAGAAGGAGGATGATGATGCTGCTGATGCTGAGGATGCTGATGCTCACTGCGATGCTGATGCTGACGTTGCTGGTGTTGTTGATGGTAAGGATGATGATGCTGATGATGATGATGATGATGAGGAGGAGGAGACAATGGAGGAGGATGAGGAGGAAGAGCTGAGACGGAAAGAGGGGGAGGGGGAGGAGGAGGAAGAGGATGAGGAGGAAGAGGAGGAGGAGGATACTGAGCAAGAGGAGGATGAAGCTGCTGCTGCTGCTGATGCTGATGATGATGATGATGATGTCGCTGCTGATGATGCTGATGACGATGATGCTGATGATGCTGCTGATGATGATGATGGTGATGATGATGCTGAGGATGCCGAGGCTGGTGCTGATGATGATGATGATGATGATGACGATGATGATGATGATGATGATGATGATGATGATGATGATGATGATGATGAGGGGATGGAGGAAAAGGACGAGGCGAAAGAGGAAGATGCGGTGGGACGGTGGGACGGAACGAGCGAGGCGGGGGGGGAGGAGGAGGAGGAGGAGGAGGAGGAGGAGGAGGAGGAGGAAGACGATGAGGAGGAGGAGGAGGAGGAGGATGAGGAGAAGGAGGAGGAGAAAAAGGATGAGACTGCGGCGGAGGAGGAGGAGGCGGAGGAGGAGGAGGATGAGGGGGAGGAGGACACTGAGGAAGAGGATGATGAGGGGGATGAGGAGGAAGCGTATGAGGAAAAGGAGGACGATGGTGCTGATGCTGCTGAAGAGAAGGAGGGTACGAGGATGATGATGCGGCTGTTGCTGCTGAAAAGGTGGGACGGATGATGATGCGGCTGTTGCCGCTGGTGATGATGAGGATGATGATTGTGCTGGTGCTGATGCTGTTGATGCTGATGATGCTGATGCTGAGGAGGAGGGGGATGATGAGGAGGATGCGGAGGAGAACGAGGTGGAGGAGGTGGGACGGTACGAGGGAGGAGGGGGAGGAGGAGGAGGAGGAGGAGGAGGAGGAGGTGGAACAGGATAATGAAGAAGAGGAGGCGGAAGCGGAGGATGAGGCTGATCATGGTGATGCTGCTGATGATGATGCTGCTGATGATGCTGATGAGGAGTCTGCTGAGGAGGAATAATACCACGAGGCGGAGGAGGAGGATGTGCGACGGAAAGAGGGAGGAGGAGAAGGATGATGATGAGGAGGAGGAGAAAGACGAGGGGGGGATGAGGACGACGATGATGATGCGGAGGAGGAGGATGGGGAGGATCGTGAGGAGTAGGACGAGGAGGAGAAGGATGAGGAGGAGGAGGAGAAGGAGGAAGGGGGGAACAGGAAGGAGGATGCTGATGCTGCCGACCATGATGATAATGATGTCGATGCTGATGATGCTGATGAGCAGGATGAGGAGAATGACGCAGAGGAGAACGCGGACGAGGAGGTGGGACGGACATGGGGGAGGAGGGGGAATATGAGGAGGAGGAGGAGGAGGGGGACGCGGAGGAGGACGAGGCGGAGGAGGAGGGAGGGAGAGACGGAGGAGGAGGATGATGCTGCTG